GAAGCATGTCCCGTCACTAGCTATTCCCTTGTTTCACACTCCCATCAGCTGATATTTTACGGTTTGGTTGATTAGACTTTCGATCTCTTTACTTTAAATCTCATCTGACAGGATTGTTTTGGTCGGTCAGGTAACTGCTTGGACTTCAGTTAACTGGGATCGGCATTGGGGCTTGGTTGGAAGTCCGTTGTTAATTGGAGAACAGAACTATTGTACGTTAGTGGTATTCAATATATAATTTGTTGTCCCAAACCTTTGTAAAAATAGCCCTGGAGCGAGATATTCCTGTTTTGACTTTTGAATTAACACGGGTGTCTTACGTGTTGCGTGAACCCACCGCCGATTTGACGGTAATAACCAGTGATGAAATGAATTACAATTGGCGCAATTGGCGGTTTACGAAGGTGTGAAAGCCAGACCAGACAGACTTTCTGCCGCGGAGCTAGCATAGCTCCTTGACACTTGCGCATATTTCGCCCGGCTCACCTCAGACAGACTAACACCATGAGGGGACTCAGACTGCGTTAGTAACAGCAGAACGTTCCCAGGGCACTAATGCGAAGCCACAGTGAACCAAATGAGCTCTAGTCAGAACAATGTTGCATCTAAATGTGAAAGGTGCAATGAACCCACTGAACTCCCCTCAGCGTATCTCGGAAGTTACCGGACAAACTCACACTGACACTAACTGTTCCTCAGGACAGTACCACCGGGTGACAACTCGTGTGCCGGTCAGCCTTCTTTCTGGTTTGGTCTCAGTGTAGTAGCGCAAGGTTACGTGTTTCCCGTCTCCAATCTCAGCTCGCGTGTAGGTCTGGCGGCTAGCTCACATTAGCCCGTAACATTTCGAATTTGATTGTTCACTCAGCAAGCGTGTGGTGATATCTTTGAAGAGCGTCAATCCATTCCGCCCAAGAGTCGAAACATTAAGAACGCATTTATAATGCATTCTTAAGATTCAATTCAGCTGAAGTTTGCAAACTGGCGAGCACTTTTGTCAACCTACATCATACATGTGGACATCTCGTTACTGTGATGCGTATATGACGCCTTCATACTCCTGCGAAGTATACATAATCCTGTAAATTCTAGAAGCAAGAATCGGAAGTTTTGCTCACCTAGACACGAAGATGACGAAGGTCTAACCCTCCATAGGCCTCAACCAATATGGCCGCCCCGAGCAAAAATAATCTGTTCAGCTAACAGAGGAAATTAGAAGGCAATTGACTACGGTTAACCGAGGGATAAATCAGTCGACGAGCTGCTCTGCCAGTTTTACATTAGTGTACAAACGGATTTCTGACAGTGTTTCAGGACGTGGTGGGTTTTCGCCTGGCAAGCGTTCTCCCTATAAAAAGCCAAAAATGTCCGCTTAACAACACTGCGACGTGGCGGATGTGACTCGCCACTGAATAAAGTCACTGCCCACAACTACATACTGGCAAGCCGACCAGAATCCTAACGTAATATTTTCCTGACAAGTTTTCTCTACAAACAGAATGCCCAGCCTGTTTACACTACGCCCACTAGAACCCAACTTGTCGTCATGTTTTGAAGAATTTATACCTCAAGATTAATTTTACAATTTCCAAAGCTTGGACAACTTTCGGCTTACTGCCGATTACATACATAGCAACATGTTTGTTGCGAAACATAAATTGCTTGTAAACGTTGATCATGCCTGGTCAGGTGTGTCTCGGAAATTCGAGAATATACTATTTATTTATTTATTTATATATGACGTAATGGGCACGTAAGGGTAATTCACACAATACTCAAAATAATCAAATGCTTTGTCAACACGCATTGGGCGATATGTTTGGCAATAAAGGATGTACATTCTTAGGTTCATTATTGGCTCTACAACGTCGGTTTCTTGAACTATCCGACAATATCTCCCGTGTTTGTCTCTTCTGTCCTTCATTTAACCTGTTCTCAAAGTTTGCCTCAACTTTTCTGCAATGAACACGTGCGTCCATTGAGGGCTGTCATTTTCTAAGTTCCCTTTATTCTCCAGCATTTGCTTTTGTTAAGGAGGGTTCTTCAGACATTTTAGCTACCCACGACATTTTCAAAATCATTATTGGGATTGCCTGTAAGTGTTTCCACATTTTGGAGGAATATACTATCTTGCCTTCAGTATCAATAATACTGTCGGATCCGATGTACGTGAATCCTCAAGAAGCAGTTCAAACCATTCCGCTCGGTAACTCAACTGCATCTAGGCGAATAGATGAGATGGCTCACGATATAGAAAGTACCTTAGTTGCTTTACTACAGTCCAGAAAGTGTTCGTTACACGTCAATGTAGCTACTTTACCTCATAACGACGATCCTCTCGTGGCATGTCCGATTAATTACTCATAAAGAATTACTGGAAGCGATGCTGTTCGCCAGGAGAATTAAAACCAATACAAGGGGCCAGTCTTTATTCGAGGTATTCAATGGCTATTCGACTACAAACTCCATCCCAACGCAGAATACATCTGCAGCTGCAACAGATTGCGCTGTCGCAATAGTCGGAAGATATACAGGATTTATTGCCCATCTAAAATATGTTCTCCTTTGTGTTCGTAAAATACACGATGTGATTCATCAACAGCACCCAGTGGCCGCAGGGCGCTTAAACGATACATTGTCAACTGTTATAATAGTAGTCAACAATATCAAATCACACTCTCTTCAAGATAGTCTTTTCCAGCAGTTGTGTGAGGTGAATGGTGAAGACTTCCTGCTTCTACTGTTGCATACACAGGTTAGATGGCACTGAAATGTCAACTTTCTCCACCGTTGTGATGCACTGGGATACCATCATCACATTTCTTGCCGGAACTGATTATGAAAGAGAACTGTTAACATTTAATCAAGACATGTTTATTCTGGCTGATGTTTTTGAAAAACTAAGTTTATTAAATAAAACCCTTCAAGACAAGTTGAGTAATCTCATTTCAAGTAAGGAAGCCATTGTCGCTTCTCTTATATAGCGGGAAGTGCAAGCCAAAAACTTCGGATGCCAGGAATTTTCACCGTTCCCAATTCTCTCTATAGCCACCTGGGAGTTGCTTTTTCTGCCAATCAGTGATAACAGCGAAAAAAAATGAAGGACAGATTTCTCGACCTGATTTACATGGAAATTTTAATTTGGATTTTAGATCCATTTATCGAACTGTAATGTTGGTTCAGATTTTGTTCTGTTCTCCGAGCTGAACAATTTCGTTGCAGACGTTTCATCACTTATAACGCACTGAGGAAGTCACCACGACTGGTGATGAAACGTCTGCAACGAAATTGTTCAGCTCGGAGAACAGAACAAAATCTGAACAGATCACCCGAGCTACAAGTATTCCGATTTATTGCTGCAATGTTGGTATTTAAATCCAGGGAAGTCGCACAGAGCTCCAAAGTGACACACTAGCAAGATCCAATTTCACACAATATAAAAGGGATTTTTGGATAATGACTGATACCACTAAGATATTCACGACTGGGAAATAGGTGAAATGTATTTCTTTGCAGTTACATCCACATACTCGGTTGAATGTGGATTTAGCAGAGTGGTTTATCTAACCAAAATCAGAAACAGATTTGACATCACAGCAAGAGATATTCGGTTCTCGTTGTCAAGTCTGGAGCCGGACATAAGCAAGCTTGCTCAAGGACAACTAACTGCAGACTCGCATTATTATTTCGATTAAGATATTGTCAAGAATTTACTAGGTCTATTTATTCAGCACATGATTACGGTTAAAAGTTACCAATAATTAAATACATATTAAATATTAATGACGACTTTAGTGTACTTACAGATATGTGGTCCGATGTTGCTACGCAATGCATCTTATATCTTGAGGCCGTGAAATTGCATAACTGAGGTTTATTCGGAGAGCCGTGATAACAACAGAAGTTGAGCTATCATGACAACAGATCACTGGAAATCGCAGATTTACGTCTGACATTGCGGATTACTAAAATTGTGTTGGTCATCGATGTGAGACTTGAGAAATGGAAAGGTCCGAAGAGGGGCCACGGTTGAATAAATGTTGCGAATGCCTGCTCTAGCGGTTTCGCCCATGTATACGTGTGCAGAATCCTTTCAGCTACTTTGTAGACATCGTATCGAGGGAGGGGAGGGTGAGCCCATTAAAGTTACTAGTGTGGAAGGGAACGTTTACCCTTCTGAAAAATTATTTTTATTTGTTTAGGACCCTTCAGGTGACTTCTGAAGTGCCCTATTTCTAAGGACAGCCAGCGCAGGTGGCTAATCGGACCAAAGCTGAAACCATACTTTGCACTTCTATGCAAATCACATGCTGAAGCGTGCAGCGTTGCACGTTTTCGTACCCGGTAGCCCAATCAACCATCAACCCAGTTGCACCATGTGACCTTGGACAACTTTGTGTCCTTAACCTGCATCTAACTATAGTTAGTGTAGCCCATGGTTGTTGAATAGAGCTTAGAAGGCTCATCCTTCGACACCCCATGCAAGCATCATTACATCAAATGTCATTGGCTGATTTGGGCTAGGTCACTTCCAGGACACTGAGTGCAAATTGCGTTACGTAGACACTGGCTACCATTCAGATGCGTTAGCGTCCAATTCAGTTGCCTTACGGATGCAAGTCCGATCGTAAGGGAGAAATTCAATGACATTATAGATGCAAGCAACCGGGAGAAGGTACAGACTTTGAAACATTTTATTGATAATTGTTATTTTGACTTTCAGTTCTCTTTATTTGTTTGGTTTTGTTACCCTTACAAATATAACCAAATCGGAGATCAGGACTCTCCATCAGTCAAGCAATTAAATTACCTTGCTTAGTGTGTAGAACCACAAGCGCTTGTGCCTTCTATAAGCATCACGTGCTGTTTCACCTGACAGACGCATGATTCTTGTTCTCAAATGTTATATGTCTAGTGGTAGTCACGTGTGCCCGCTCTCGGTTCGTTTTCCGTAGATGTTGCAAATGGACTTGAGGTAAACGTCTGGCAAAAGGTGGATACTACCTAAACCTGTATAGGTGTTCTAATGGTGCTACGGTGAGGTACTTGTTTTCTGTACATAATGTTCTTGGTTGGACTCCCCTATGTGCTCAACGAATAATACCAACCCTTCTATGGTCTCGGTCTTTTTCTGTTCGTTGAATTAATTTAGTAGTTACGCTTATTATGAATAGGATGTAGCCGCTGTGCTACATACAGCATAAACTGGGAAGAGGAATGTGTTTTTACATTCCTCTGCAGAAACAGTGAGAAAATGGAAATGGGCTACAAAAGTTGAAGCTTCATTTTGGGGCCAACTCTCCCGAGCGGTGCGCATCTGAAGCGGTTGAGAACTTTGGGAAGTCATCTGATCCAGTTTTCTAAACAGCGTTCGCCGGATGCCACTAATTCGTTTGAGAATATCAATTGCACTATCGACTGTGAACAACTTACGTTAAGGTTGCTATCAGCAATTGCGTTCGATTTAACTCACCAAGTTGGCTTCAATCGCGTGTACGAATTCCGTCAAAATACTGGGGTTCAAGTCCGAAGAGTTCAGTGCGTGAGATAACTAGAGCTTCGTCCTTAGTGGACTAAATGCACACATTTGATTGCTGCCTCTGTACCACGAATACTAATGTATGATAAATAAATGAAATGGTTCTTAGGAATAAATAAATAACCACAAAGAATTTTAAGGCATATGGAATGCATAGTACAATATTGCGACTTCCACTGAAAAGGTATTTAAGTCGAGGAAAATAGGCACATAGATTGAGATATTCGAAACGAAATGCACTTACACCCTTCCAAGCACACATTTGATTTGCGACCATTGTAAAAACTGATTGCTTTGTAAATTGATTCCGTACCAAGCGGTATTGCAATTTTAGTTTTTTAAATAACTTTGCTCAATCAACTCTTACCTTGTGTGCTGCCTCGAATTGTCCTGAGATTCATCGCATTCAGCTGGAATGCATTGATGATTCGAATTTGTGTACTTTGAATATCGGATTAGTTTGCCTTTTTCTCTCTTTGACCTTGCCTATGAACTTATGTGCACACCGAATATCGCATCGTGCGTGTGGATTGGCTAGCGCGAGCAGCCAGATGCTGCGTGTACATTTTCTGCAATGGCAACAATCATTGATACACTGACGATGGTTTTTAATTAAATTACTGTTGGTGTACCGAAATACCTATTGTGGATATGGACTGTAAAGCAATACTGTAATCCATAGTGCGATTTAATTTGGAGCAAATTCAATTCCCATCGATTACTGGGACCTGGTTTGCGTCTCAGCTTCGGTCACTCATACTTGAAGAGTCCAACCAGAAGTGAAACCCATTGTGCAGTAAACTGGTTGGAACAAGCAACACCTAGCATCTGTCAGCATTTCACTTCTCTAAGTAAGTGAATCGTACCTTTCCTTCTTGGATGGTTACACCCACTGAGTACTCCGCTTTAAGTATAACATCGCAACTATTATGGTCAGTTTCTTCACCAGAACGAGGCGGAGTTGGTCTATTTCACTCTCAGATCCTTGATATGTACTGTTCTCTGGCATCCATCTACTCACATTGTCCTCCGATACAGACGGTTAGCTTTTTGTAAAGTTATGGACTTCAAAAGAAAATTAACCTATCACTCCGTGCCTTCCATAGGGGAAAAGAACCATCAGCATAGTGGAGTACGTTAAACTCAAATTTCTGTTCGTTACAATTTGGTATCTAGCAACCATACTCTCACTGGGATGAATACTGAATATTGAAAAAATGCAGCGAGTAGAGATGCCTCTGTGTAGCTACATCTAAAATATGTTAAACAAATCTAAGTATTATGAATAGGATTATTCTCTAAACCTCAAGTCGGCAAAGTGGAATCCCATATGTTTCTTAAACTATGACACCGACTTTGCTTCGACTATGTCTGCAGGCAGGTTGTTCTTAATGTTCACCATCGTCCGCTCAAAACAGAGTTGGTGAGCGACCCACTTCAAATCCGATACTACAAGCTTGTACCGGTGTCCTCCTGTGCTGCATGGTGTGCGCAGATGAAATAGCGACCTCAACATGGGGTATTCGCCCAGATGTAATATCCGGTGCGTCAAATTGAGGACAACCCTAGTCTCTTGCATCGGTCTTCATATGGCCAACCTTGTACATCGGGGATGAGTCTTGTGGCCAAATACTGTACCCGCTGAATCCTTTGCACCTCGCCCAGGGTGGGATGACAGTCGGCGGATGGGCTGTACTCTAGTATTGGTCCAAAGACGGAAGAGAAGAGGCGGGCGTCAATCTTTTCGGACAAAGTGCAGAGACTGCGTTTGAGCACCCAGAACATGCGCAGTCCGTTTTGGTAAAGCCTGTTCGTGTTCTAAACGGATTTCAAATCGCCACGTGAGAGCACGCCGAGTTCTTTCACCAATGGCGATGGGTCTGACTGTTGGCTGGCCAGATTTTAGACTCCGTCATTACCACCCTTACCCATGCTCATGAATACCGACTTGACCGGGTTGATCGTAAGTTTAACCGTCGCTGACCATATGGAGAGGCGGTCAAGGTCACACTGAAGCAGGCGACAGACGTCGGGCGCCTCAATTACTCTCCATACCTTGCCGTCATGTGCAAACAACTCGCAAGGTAAACAGCGAAGCTGAAGCAAATCCTTGATGTGGATCAGGAATAAAATGGGCCCAAGGACTGTGCCCTGCGGGACGCCACTGGTCGAGGGATACTACTCGGTCAAGTAGTTGTCCAAATGCACCCTCCACGTCCTACCAATAAGGAATTCATTGATCCACTGATGCAGGGAGCCACAAACCGCACATCTTCAGCTTCCGAAGGAGGATATCATAGTTCACCTTGTCAAACCCCTTGCTGAAGTCGATGTAAATGACGTCAACCGACTTCCTTTGGTTTAGCGATTGCAACCATTTAAGTTTCCAGAGTAGTAGGTTTGTGATGCATGAATGACTTTTCATGAAACCGTCCTGCGCGAGGTTCAAGATGCTTTTTGACTCGATATGCTGCAGAAGACCAAGCTTCACAATCTTTTAGAGTGCCTTAGCCAAAACAGAGGTCAGGCATATCGGTCGGTTGTTGTCCACCTTGCTCGGACCGCTGCCTTTCGAAAGCAGTTTTACCACTGAGTATTCCCATTTGCTTGGCAATAAAACAGCGGATAGCGACCTGTTGAATAGCTCAGTCACCGAAGGCGTGATGATGACCGGTGGTGATTTAGGGATCAGCGGATGGAGCACAAGAAGCCCAGAAGATTGGTACCGTCAAGACTGGCGAGCAATTTGCGCAGAAATTTGATGCAGTATCTGGAAAGCCACAATTTAATAGCTCCAGAGCAACATGGCTTTCGTCAAACGCATTCGTGTAATACTAACCTATTAATTGCACGTAATAGCTGGAGCGGTTGATGATGGAGTAGGAGTCGATGTCATCTACCTGGACTTTTCAAAAGTGTTTGATCGATTAGACCATCGAATTCTCCTTCAGAAGCTACGGAATTACGGCATTGGCGACCCAATCCTGAGTTGGATTAGCAATTTTCTACAAGAACGACGGCTAGTGGCGAGAGTCCGAGAATCATTGTTTGATGCAATCGATGTGGCATGTGGAGTACCACAAGGCTCGGTTCTTGGACCTCGTCTATTCTTGGTGTTCATTAACGATTTGACGAGATCATTTACTTCCGATTTCCTATTTTTCGCTGGTGATATCAAGATATGGCGAAGGATCAGAGGACCGGCCGACCACGAACGGCTTCAGTGCGATCTTAACACAGTTTCGAACTGGTCAGTTCAAAACGCCCTACCATTCAACATAGACAAATGTCGCGTTGTACAATTACGCCATAAACACTACACCTATTTAGTTGGGACAAACGGATTTCAGACCACCTCCCAGGAACGTGACCTTGCAATGCTCCTACAGAGCGACCTCATCTGTTCAAAACAGGCTGAGGTAGCTGCGAAAAGTGGCAACCAGCACGTCGGCATGCTGCGGAGGGCATTCGGGAGATTTGACCCATCAATCTTCCCAATGATGCACAATTCCTACGTGCGCCCGCATGTTGAATACGCTATGCAAGCTTGGCAACCTTGGTTGAAGCGTGACCTAGAAGCGATAGACGCACCACAACGGAGAGCGACAAAAAATGTAAAAGTCCAAGGCTACAGCTCTTACCACCGAAGACTGAAGATGCTGGGAATTTTCAGCGGATACTATCGAAGGCTGCGCGGTGATCTCATATTAGCGTATCAAATATTGAGTGACCCCAACCACGTATGCCGCCATTTGCTAAAACTTATCCACAACACACAGCTCAGGGGTAACTGCTTAAAATTGAGGGAACAATATGGTTGCCTAGAGTGTCGACGGAATTACTTTTCCCTTCGGGTTTGCCAACCCTGGAACGCACTCCCAGACTCAGTTTTATCCTCTCTACCTTGGACGCTTTCAAAAAACAATTAGATGTTGCTCTTACCTTCCGGCCTCTTGTTACCTAAGCTCCCCTATTGTGGATTATGCTAACCATGCTTTGCTACAGGAGTTATGTATCAAATGGACCCCAGTGAGCGATCATGTTTAACTTTCCTCACGCCTTACATCAACGATCACTGCACCCCAGTGTTTTTCTGAACGTTTACGCTCGGTTTTTTTAATTTTACACTGATGTGATAAATCATCAAATCATTGACAAATCATTGACAAATCATTGTTCATTGTTCAACGCTGCAATCCAGGCTGTCCAGCACGGTAGGGGCGATGTGCGTCGAACTCGGTACGGACGCCTGGTTATCTGCAAAATGGAAGCGAAGTGTTCCGCCTATCGTAAGCAGCCTCACTGCTGGAAACTAGCTGCTCTGTCCGAGCCCCCAACACAGGCACATCACCTGCCGGCTCCAGGTGTCACTTTATGTATGCAATGATCCTCTTGGGAGGTGTTTTTGCTGCGGTTGCAGGCTGCCCTTAAAAGCTTCGGTGGTTACTCGTTTTCGAGCTGTTGCAAGCATTTCCTTGCCACTTGTACGCCTCCTAAT